CGCCTGCCTGGGAGCCTCGGCGTACGCCGCCGTGCGCCTGACGGAGCCAGGGGCCGTCAAGGGACCCGTCTACTGAGGAGACACCAGCACCGTGGCAGACCCGGCCGGCAAACCCGTGCCGGGGCTGGCAGCAAAGAGACCAGAAAACTGCAAATCCGTAGGGAGCAACCTCTGCCCGGCCCGGCTGCAGGAAGGCGCTTGGGCTCGGGACAGCCACCAGAGGGAAAACGCAGCCTCGGGAATTTAATTTGGTGTAGGTATCACCCCCCTCCCACAGCCCGGGGGACGGTGGAGAATAAAGAGAGGTCACCCCGAGTTCTGTCCTCATTACTGGGGTTCGTTACCTGCCCCCTCTGCCCATCCTTCGCTCCCTGTGCCCCTTCCCAAAGAAATAAATTGTCTTTTATACAAACCCTCTTACTCTGTTATGTCCTGCTTGGTGCTGAATCGGCTCATTGCCGATTTCCTTTTTTTTGTTCTTTTTTTTTTTTAAAAAAAAAACAAACAAACAAAAATTGTGGTTTGATTATTTAAGAGACTTGCCAGATCCAGCCTTGTTCACTGCTGGGCACTCACAGAGCTGTAAATCTTTGTAAAATAGGATTATTTTATAAACTATGAGTAGAAAAACACCAACTTTTTAAAGAATGGACAATAAAAATGAGATGGATTGTTAACGAACTGAAATGACGTGTTGATTTCTTTGAATGAAACCAAGACTATACTGGTGGTGGGGGGGGGTTGTTACTTGAGGGCTGAAGTTAGTTTTTCTGTTGTTTCAAGCCCCTTATTGGGTGTCTCAATTGCTCATTCCCATCCCTGGGGACAATTTCAGCCTCTCTATAATATGGTTTCCTAAGCAAAAGCTCCTTTCTTCCCCCTTGCACCACTGCAAACGTGCAGAGGAATTTGCCACCCCTGAGCCCCCCGTGTCGGAGGCTGAGCAAATTTCCCAGAAATGCATCGAGCACCTTCAAATAAGGCCGAGTCCACCCAAGTCCCCTCGCAATCAAGTGGGCCAGAAAACTATTAGCAGTATCGCAAAAGGTATTGATCTCTTAACAGTTAAAAAGGAGGCCTGCGGCTCTAACAGGATCCGCAGGTGTCTTTCTCATTATTGCCATCGACAGCAGAAAGGATTAAAGCTGTGCGGTGGGAGCAATGGGGCTTCGCTTTGTAAGATAAATAAAAATCAATTTTTGTTTATTAGCAAAGCATGTTCGGCTTGGCAGGGTAACAAATCCTGGGGAAGGGTGGGGGGAAAGGCTGGCCGGGTCCCTCCTGCGGCACAGAGCATCGCTGCCACCGGCCCAGGGGCTGCCGGCAAACCTCAGCCGGAACGGGACTGCAGGGGGACCGGGCTCAGCCCCACCCGGGCGTGCTTCAGCTGGAGGGGGCTAATCCTGCCAAGGACCAGATCCAAGCCCAGGCAGACCCAGCACCGTGTGCTCTTCCCTCCCCATACGCACCTCGCTGTGTAGCGGAGCATTTTCCTGGATGGATCCCTATCCGTCCCCGTGTCCCCAGGCTCTTCACAAGTGTCCTACGCTCATTCTCCATTTAAATTAGCTCCTCCGTGCCCTTTGCAAACCACTGCCTCGTCACTTAATGTGCAATCAGCTAACTTTAAGGGGACTGTCTTTTATTTTAAAAAAATCAAAATTGGAAGTGAAATGCAAATATTTTATTTGCAAGTTGGAATTTAATCAAGGAATTAAGAAGGCTGCATATTAATTAGGGGCCAGACTCTGGTTGTTTCCAATAAGTGGCAAACCTGCTCCGAATCTGCCTCTTCATCAGAGCCCTCATAAATATTCATCCAATAAATAGCAGATTAGATGCCATTACAGAGACAAGAGAGATTGAAACCCAAGTATCTGTGGAAATGAAACAGCTGGAAAGTGTCCAATCTCTGCCCCAAATAATAACAAATCGTTATTAGGAGAGGGGAAGAAAGAGCCTTGTTGAGCACCTGTCTCCATTTCTGGACAAATGGGGAGATTCATCTTAATTCTTTTCGGGGAGGAATTCAGGTTAGCAAACACCTTCGGGGACAGCCCGAGGCTGGGCTTGCCCCGGGCTCCAGCTGTGCTGCACATCTGGGGCCACGTCCCGCTGCACAGCCCAAATAATCTCTTTTTTTTTTTTTTTTTTCCCCCACGAGAGGGAGCTGCCTGCCCGCTGAATCCCCCTCTTCCCAGGGAGCCCACGCTTGGGCTGTTGCCCCTAAAACCAGTTTTTATCCCCGGCAGGGGCTCGCTGCAGCCTTCCCCCCCCCTCAGGCACAGGACTGCGCTTTGCAAAGGCTGTGCTCCCCCCTTCGCTTTGGGGGGAAAGGGTGAACCCCCCTCGCTCAGCCCCTCCCCACTCCGGGATGAATGCGGCACAGCTGGAACATGCTGGTAGAGGGGAACCGGGGTGCAGAGGTTTGCTGCAGGGACGCCGGTACAAGGAGGGCCCGAGGGGCGAGAGCAGTGCTGTGGTCCTGGCGCAGGGGGAGGCCACTTCCAAGAAGGACAAAGGGCTGCCGGAGGCAG